GGTGACTACCCTCTCTCCGCCACCATCATGTCTGAATACGCAAACAAGAAGACTCGTGGTGCTTTCATCGCGGCCGTGTTCGCAATGCAAGGTGTTGGTATCTTGGCCGGAGGGTTCGTGGCACTTGCCGTATCTTCCATTTTCGACAAGAAGTTCCCAGCTCCGATCTATTCAGTCAACAGGGCTCTCTCAACGCCTCCNCAAGCTGATTACATTTGGAGAATCATCGTCATGTTTGGTGCNCTACCCGCAGCCTTGACTTACTACTGGCGTATGAANATGCCAGAAACCGCTCGTTACACCGCTTTGGTGGCNAAGAACATCAAACANGCCACACAAGACATGTCCAAGGTCTTACAAGTGGAGCTTGAGATGGAGGAAAGAGCAGAGGATATTGTTCAAGACCCGAGACTTAACTATGGCTTATTCTCCAAGGAATTCCTCAGACGCCACGGTCTTCCCCTCCTCGGATGTACCTCTACGTGGTTCTTGCTTGACATTGCCTTCTACAGCCAGAACTTGTTCCAAAAGGATATCTTTTCGGCTATCGGATGGATCCCAAAGGCAGCAACCATGAACGGAATCCATGAGGTTTTCATGATCGCTAGGGCACAAACCCTCATCGCACTGTGCAGTACCGTCCCAGGTTACTGGTTCACAGTCGCATTTATTGAAATCATGGGAAGGTTCTGGATCCAGCTAATGGGATTCTTCATGATGACTGTTTTTATGTTCGCCATTGCCTTCCCTTACAACCACTGGATCAAACCGGACAACCGTATCGGATTCGTGGTCATGTACTCGCTCACTTTCTTCTTTGCCAACTTTGGACCCAACGCAACCACGTTTATTGTCCCCGCGGAGATCTTCCCGGCCAGGCTAAGGTCTACATGCCACGGAATATCAGCCGCGACAGGTAAGGCTGGAGCCATCGTGGGAGCATTTGGTTTCTTATATGCGGCTCAGCCACAAGACAAGACCAAGACAGACGCAGGTTACCCACCAGGCATTGGAGTCAAGAACTCATTGATCATGCTTGGTGTCATTAACTTCATCGGTATGCTCTTCACCTTCCTCGTCCCTGAGCCCAAGGGCAAGTCCCTTGAAGAGCTCTCTGGCGAGACTGAGGTTGAGAAATGATTAAGCCATCATATTTTCAAATTATTTTTTATTGGTTTTGCTAATTCTTCTTTTACATTTTACTTCTTTTTTGCGATGTTTGACGTGATATTTGTAATGGTGCACCTCTACTTTTGTCTTTTTGTGTGAAAAATAGTGATCAAATTATTCTATTGATATATATGATTGCTAATCCCTATAACATACTCTTGAATTCCTTATAATTGTTATCTTCTTTTATATATAGTTTATACATGTCTACATCTCGCATAAACATATAAATCGTTTGGAGCATTGAAGTGTACGTGGCAAATGGAAGTCTCCGCATAAAAGTCTTTTTTTTTTCTTCCCAAATAAGTTTACAAGAGATACAATAAAAAGACGTTGTTTAGATTAGATGATTTCACACACTTATATATATTTGGTCTGAGTTGGATCGGTTGATATTTAATCCTTCCTATGGTTATATAAGTAGCAATTAGGTCCACTAAGACATGAACTTATATATTAAATTGAATATATCTGCATATGTTCCTCCGAATATCCTGTGTTTTTCGAATATGCTCTATTTTAATAACGTTATTGACTTTTGGTAATGATAATTAATCTTCGTTACTATATGTATCCAGATTGTAACTACTCAAATGTCAACTATTAGAGTTGAACGATTCGACTACAAAAAAAAGGGGAAGATAAAGAAATTTGAAAACCATTCAACGTATTTTGGCATTAAAATCATTTGCAGTTCACATTCTATACACAAAGCAATAAATAATAAGAATTTGTAACACTTGCTATTTTCTTTGACTCCTTTTTATATTGCAAAAAAATAATAATTGCATCGAACAAAACATTAATATATTTTGTTGGTCGTCAATGGTTAAGGCCATTATACACACACACAACAAAAAAGGTAATGCCACTTATGTATACAACTTAATCCAACGGGACAATCTACAAACTGAAATCGTGTCTAAATTAGCTCTATTTAAATATTTACATGGGATGCACATCTTTTAGTTAATGCTCCTATTTTTGGTTGTCACTCTGTCTCCAGATAATAAGACGGTCCTGAGTATAATTCTTAATGTCATGCAGCACAATTATACTTTCACTTTTTGTTATAGTTTTGCAATATTATATACTAATTTGTGGAGGTTTTACAGTTTGATGTAGAGTTTGTAATTAAGTCAAGTTATTGTTAGTAGCTGCTGGGAGTAGTATGTTAAATATACTAGAGAGGTGAAGTAACTTTAACATAAGTATGTAAGAGTAGTTAAAAAAAATAGACAAGATTATTTAGTTTTGAAATTAAAAAGATTTATTTTACTTCTTTACATTCGTTGAACTTGTTTCATAGTAGGACATAAAATGCGTTTCCGAACAATTTTTTATTAATATAAATCTAGAAAATTATTGGCGCAATTGCAAAAATACCATTTTTAGTATGTACATTTGCAAGAATGCCACTTAGAGGTGTACATTTGCAAGAATGCCACTTAGAGATGTTCATTTGCAAAAATACCACT